CGTCATGGCGGGCAGCCTGCAGGAATCCTTCGCGCTGGCGCAGCAACTGGAGGCGCCGGGGCAGTTGGTCGCGCTGCTGTCGGCCCGGCGGCGCAAGGTGCTGGCCGGCCAGGTCGACACCGGCGTGGAACGCTGGAAGAACGGCCCCGACGCCGGCAAGCGCACGGCCGAGCCGCCCTCCCCGGCGCCCGCGCGACCGGGCCTGACGCTCGGCCATGTCGCGCTGCTGCTGGGCGCAGCCGCCGTCGTCATCGTGCCGCTGACCGGCGTGAAGAGCACGGCTTTCTTCGTGCTGTCCTGGGCGCTGTCGCTGACGGGCGCTGCGGGCGTGTTCACGGTGGCGCCGTCGCTGGGCCTGGGCGGTGTGGTGCGCATCATCGCCACGGCGGTGGCGTTGCTGCCCGTCATCGGCGGCTTCGTGAACCTGTGGCTGGTGCTGCGCTGGATGGGCCGGCGCTCGTCCTGACGCCGGGTTTGCACGGAGGAACCCGGCGCGGCCAGCTCGCCGTGGCGGGCGTCCGATAGGGGTATGCCCTGGGCGCATGGCACGCGCTCCCGGGAGCGCGGGCACGCCCCCGCAGGTGCGGGGGTAGGCATCACCGGGGGGCCTCTCTATCCTGGTTTTCGGCATCGGTCGGCCAGCACGCAACAGGCGGCGTGCCGATCCTCCTGTGATGGCTTTCAACAAGGACTGTCGATGAAGATCAGCAAACTGCTCGCCGGCGTCGTCGCCGTCGCGGCCTCCAGCGTCAGCATGGCCGATCTCGTGGTCACGGAAGGCTTCGACGACGTGTCGACGCTTGCCGGCAAGGGCTGGGCGATCCGCAACCTCAGCACGCCGCCGGGCACGACGTCCTGGTTCCAGGGCAATGTCGCGCTGGGCTCGGCCGATGGTGCGGCCGGTTCGCACATCGGCGCCAACTTCCTGAATGCTGACATCGATGGCGGCACGATCAGCAACTGGCTGTTCACCCCCGTCGTCACGGAGAACGGGCGGCTGCGCATCGACTATTCCCTGCGCCTGTTCGGCGACGGCTTCCTCGACACCGTCGAGGTCTACTACACGTTGGCCGGCAACACCACCAACTTGGCCGACTTCATCCTGCTGAACACCTACGCGTCGAGCTCGGACACCGGCTGGGCCCAGCAGACCGAAAGCCTGGACAACCTCTTCGGCACGCACTCCGTGCGGTTCGCCTTCCGCTACGTCGTGGCGGACACACTGTCGGCCGGCAACTACGTCGGGCTGGATGCGGTCAGCATCAGCACCGTGCCGGAGCCAGTCTCCCTCGCGCTCGTCGCCGCGGGCCTGTTGGGC